TTAACTTGTTACACCAATGTAGCAGTGCAAAGTGAAAGAACAAACGTGTAACGAGGCGTTTCCCACCTCGTTTCTAATTTAAGTAAACCTAGTCATATCCTAATTCTAGTTTGTTTCGTTCCTATATATTTAAATAATCTCACGTTCTAGTCTGTTTTGTTATTCTCGACCGTTGTCGAATGTTAAAATATATGTATGTTTCGTTCTCCCCGCTGTGCTTAATTTCACTGCCCGACACCCGTTAGACTACTAGCACGCCGGGAGCCCAATAGTCCTCCCGGCTGCCGCTACGCGGCGCGAACGCGAGGTTGAGGCAGCAACTCGCAGTTAAATTTCCGCGGCCGCCGCTATAAAAGGGGGGCTCGCGGAACCATCGAGACGAGTTCACCGCCGGTCTCCTAGGAGACCAGCACGGGAGCGTGACACCGCGAACTCAGCCTCTCGAGGCACACCTGTTCCAGACGACGACGTGCCGGGTTTCGGCCGCCGATCGAACTCAGCGGATAGCGTGTCGGGCTTCGACCGTGACTCCCCAACATTGTTCCAGACGACGACGTGCCGGGTTTCGGCCGCCGATCGAACTCAGCGGATAGCGTTTCGGGCTTCGACCGTGATTCCCCAACATTGTTCCAGACGACGACGTGCCGGGTTTCGGCCACCGATCGCACTCAGCGGAGAGCGTGACTCCAGAGCACATTGTGCCCGACGACGACGGCCCCGAGCCCGGATCGCGGCTTGCCGCCACCGCGACCACCCACCACTCCGAGTTGCATCGGCAACACCGATCGCACGCGCCTCGGCGCCGTATGCACGTCACTCATTGTACAGTAGATTAATAAACTCTCGTTGTAAGTTAACCACACCAAGCGCATTACTGCCAGCCCTCTCTCCTATTACGATCCTGGACGCCGGCGAGCTTATCCAAGCGATAAATAACGCAAAAGCACGAGGCGAGAGAAGTGACCCCGTTACAAACGTAATATTTGTCTGTCATTGCTGTCTTGAGCACTACTTGCACACACAAACACACAAACATATATCTATATACAGGGTGTTCGGAAAGTACCGGGACGCCCGAATATCAGGAAAAATATAAGTTTTACAAAAAAATGTTTCAGACAAAAGTTGTGGCGTTTA